TAGAAATCTGCACTTATTTTGTAAATACTTTTAATTTCTTGTTCCACTTTAAAAAAAACAATTGTACTGCAGATTAATAATAGCTAATAATGTCTAAATACTCATTATGTACCAAGGTATATAAAAATTGTTTAATTCTTATAACTTAAGTTAGTACTATTTCATTCCTATTTTACAGACAATGCCAACTGAGGAACAGAGTTATGGAGCTTGCCTAAGTTTATATTTCTCATAGTGTTAGAGATTGGATTTTTCCCAGATGCTCTGGCTTTTAACTATTTGATGCTCTACCTGATGAGCTGCAGGTATAGTTTTTATATGAAACAAGACATAGCACTCCAGTCAGTGAATGCATAAAAGCTTTAAACCTTAATTAAAAGATTAATAAGCAGCTAGGTATGGTGGTGCATATCAGGCAACTGGGGAAGCTGAGGTAGGAGGATCCTAAGTTCAAGGACAGTCTGAACAACTTGGTGAGACCCTATATCAAAATAAAAAATGACCAGGGATGTAGCTGCTTAGTAGTAAAGCAACCCTAAGTTCAATCCCCAGTTTTATACACACACACACACACACACACACACACACACACATACACACACATATATATACACACACACACACACACACACACATGTATACATACACACACACACTCACACATACATACATACAACTCCTGCCAGCAAAAGTGGGCAGCAGTGTGGGTGTGGGTATGGGGGGGTAATCAATTTTATATATATAAAATATTGATATCAATATTATATACATATATATAATATTGTTGAGAGAGAGAGATATCAATGTTCGAGGATAGGTTTTAGGTTTCAAATGTTGAAAGCTTGCAAGTTTTATTTCATTTTTTTATGATTCCTTTGCTTCATATAACTTTTAAATTTAAACAACAATTCAATCACATCACCTAGAAGACTTTACATTCTACAAAAGGACAGATGAAAGATGATGGCCTTAAAGAGTGGGAGTTGGGACCTGTATATTACTGGAATGAGGAGCTATTGTATGTACTGGAGCAGGAGTACAACATAAGGACATACAACAATGAGTCTAATCTAGTTTATTTTTTAAGGGAGGAGCGCTCAGGTTTTTAAACTTACTACAATAAAAATCAGGATTTTGAGTAATACCTGTATTTCTCATTAACTCATTTAGCCACTGCAACAACCTGAAGTGATACTATGCCCAGTTGTCTACTCAATTTGATATTATTTGCTGAGAGCCTATTATATATGGGGGCTCTGATCCAGAAGGAGGACATAAAGCAATGAAGAAGCATCTCAGATCAGAACTTGGCCTTCATGAAGTTTTAATACAGCAGCTTCATTCTTATCTTTGCCTCTGAGACAATTAAATACATGTCCCCTCAGTTGGGGATTCATCCTTTTTACCTGGTAGCAATGATATGTTCCAGGATTACAGATTTGTAAATAAGGATACAAGATATTGTACATAAAAAACATTTGATAAGTGCCTGGCAGACAGTAAATGCTCAACAGAAGCTAAGTATTGTTAGAATTGTGTTATTACAATACTAAATTTCATCTCCTTTCAGGTACATTGAACTTCATCACAAATTAAACTCCACAAACACATTTTGAATCTATCATGGGATTGATATACTGCCTCACAAAAACTATGAAATAGTGAGGAAAACCTATTTAATATTTTCTAATTCAACTCTCAACACTCAGTGACACTGAATAAGCAACAACTTCTTTAAATAAGCCACAGCCTCAGCTTCCTCATATGAAATATCAAATAGGGCTGGGGGTATAGATCAGTGGTGAAGTGCTGATCTTGCATGCAGGAGGTCCTGGGTTTGATTCCCAGAACCACCAAAAAAAATAATAATAATACCCATTTCATTCAACTCCTGCCAGCAAAAGTGGGCAGCAGTGTGGGTGTGGGTATGGGGGGTTATCAATAAATATTAGGTGTAGATATAACTATCATTACTCTGAAAAAAATACAGGCTAAAATTTATGCATGCTCTCACTGGAACTGGTGTACACTTGTCATCCAAGTGATTAGGGAGGCTGAGGCAGGAGTATCACAAATTTGAGGGAGGCCATCCTCAGCAACTTATTGAGACCCTATTTTGAAATACAAAGGACTATGGATATGGCTTAGTGGTTAAGTGCCTCTGGGTTGAATTCCCGGTATCAAAAAAAAATTTTAATTATAAAGTTTATGCATACTTTCAAATGATGTGAAAGATTAAAAATGAGATTTTTTATTGTCAAATTCAAAATTAGGCATATTTAGACCACTGAAGAGAAAAAGTAGAAAAAAATCATATTTCTGCTCAAGTAAAAGTGTTTGCAATGGCAATTTTTTATTTAAAACTATATTTTCCACATTAATATCTGCTAGATTTGCAGAAAAGTGAAATGAGAAAATGTTAGCTGGGAAGTTTTGTAAAATTATGAATTATTTAAAAGCAGAAAGTACCTAACATACAATTTAAATGTATGAGAAATGGAGTGAATTCTTTCATAGAGCAGAGATTCAGTTATGAAATAGGTTTATGATATAGGGGGAAGTGTTCTATCTGAAAACCTTGGTTCCCTGGATAAACATACACATATATGTACATATCTACGTACTTAAGTGTATGCATACGAGCATAATTCCTAATTATTTTAAGGAAACGTACAGGCTAATCATATTAGCACAAGTTAACTTACTTTAGTAATGTTACAGGACTGGAACCTTCTGGGAAACCAAAGCACTGCAAAGACTACCCTTCAAACCACAATTCTTGTGATCAAGTTGAAAAGATTTCAGGTATCACTCAATCACTCAGATTAACAAGCAATGGGTTTATTAGAAGAGATGGTAAAGGGGGAAAGGGAACTCTCTCAAGAGAGAAAGTGGATCCTCTCCTAAAGAACAGGGATCAACATGCTTCTCTAGCACTCCAGTTTTATTGGGGATCCCAGAGGGTTCCAAAGAGTCTTGCTCTGGTCCACTTCTCTGGACTTTTGATTGACAGCAGGATAACAGATATCCAAGTCCCCACTGCCATGACAACTTTAGGGCACTTTGGCCCATGCTGATGTGTTCTAATTGGATTCTTAATCACAAATTCTTAAGGTTAGGATGAATTAGCTTTATCTTCCTGAGTTCTGATATCTGCTGAGAAAGAGTCATAAAAGTCTTCCCCTTCAGGGAAACTTGTGTTCTGCTTACCACATTATTTCCGGCCTGTGTTTCTCTTGTAGATAACAGGTGGTTTGCTGTGGAATGTGACATATCCTGTCCACTTAAGCCAGACAGGGTTTCAGGTAAATTGCTTCTTTGAAAAACAATCATGTGGGGGTCAGCACAGTGGGCCCAGCTTATAGAATTATTTCCTTAACCTCGTGTACCCACCACTCACATCTGTCTATCCCCTATTAGAAACATAGTATAAATTATTGTAGGATTGGGTTGAGTTTTTCCTCATGAAAAAAACTACTGATAGTTTGGGGACCAAAGCCATGAAAGAGAACTGATTCTTGTCCTCACGACTCAGGAGATGGAAAAACTGGCAAGTAGGCAAAGTAGAGTTAGCTAAATACTTATTTGTCCACTATGCGCATCCAAGGCAAGGGCCTCCTTCCAGTTGACATGCACTTTATGAGGATAGCAATCTCTCTCCAAGATATTAAAGTGGTGTCGGTCAACACTGAGTTGGATCATCACTCTTCATAAACATTCTTCTGGATGAGGGTTTTGCGTGGGCACAGGTTTTGGTTCCCTTTTCTTTCCTGAGGCAGGCGCCTTTTCCTTTGCAAAGATGGCGGCCCCTGGATGAGTGCCCCATATATCGCCTCCGGACAAGGGGCCTGCTTAAATCCGAGGTATTTCTTACGTAGCACACAACACACAGGACAGCATTTACCCTTTAGAAGCAAGGAAAGGCGACTTAGGATAGCCCCGAGGTAGAGCCTTTGCCAAGATTGTGGCCGCGGAATGTGCTGGCGTCACCGCTCTTTACCAAGATGGCGGCGGGCGGCTTCCGGCATGCGCTTCCTTAATCGTCTCCAAGATGTCAGAGCAGAAGCGGACGCCGTCAGAGTCGGAACTCGGCCAGAAAGAGTGGCTCTGGCCGCGGCCCGGGAAGGGGATAGGTGGAGCTACAGCAGTCCCCGCTCTTGTCAGGAGCTGCCAAGCGCTGTCACCTGTGGGGGCGCAAAAGTTACCTCCCTATACCCTCAAGCAACACCGCACAACCTTACCCGAGTCAAAAAAACAAAAACAAAACAAAACAAAAACCATAATGTGTGCCACATAAGGTAGGAGGGTGGGTCCCAGCATAGCCCAAGCCTTCCAGACACTGCGAGTTGGGCAGGGGGCTGGGGCGGGGGCTTTACGATCTAACACCTTCGCCCTACGCCCCTCTCTCCTCCGGGACTGGCCACGTGTTTCCCTCGGTCTGAGGGGGAGGGTGTAACGGGAACAGCTGGAGGGAGTTTAATGCTGACATTTTAAATCTGCGTGTGTTTTGTTTTGTTTGGAGGGGCAGGGGTCCCATGAATGCGAAAGAGTGAGCGACGCGTTGAGGGCAGCAAATGTCAAGATTCGCGGGGGAGGGGCCTCCGCCGGGAACTTGGACCTGAGCCCTGGAGGGGGTGGAAGGAGAGGACAGGAGTTTGGGCTGGGTGGAGGACGTACTTCTCCAGCAACTTACTATTTCTTTTGCAACTTGCTTTTAAACCTGCCACCCCCTGCTTTCCTTAATCATAATTTTAAAAGTGCAAAGAAATTCAGCTCGCCGGAGGTTTTGCATTTGGCGTGCAACTTCCTTCGAGTGTGAGCGCACTGGAGGGAGGGAGGGGTGGGGGTTGAACTTGGCAGGCGGCGCCTTCTTCTGCCGCCGCCGCCGCCTTCTTACAGACTCGGGGAAGAGGGTGGGGGACGGACGGGGCGCGGGGGAGGGTGGGTTCTGCTTTGCAACTTCTCTCCGGGTGCGGGAGCGCGGCGGCTGCGGAGCGGGCCGCCCAGACGATGCGGGGGTGGGGGACCTGCGGGCACGCGACTCCCGTAAGCGCTGACCCCCTCCTCTGCTCTTCTCTACCTTAAGCCTCCCCAGAGGGCGTGTCGGGCGATCCGGCCCCGAGCGCGGCCGAATCGCCACTGCACGGTTTCCGTGCAACCCTGTACCCCCTTTGGAAGTGACATACTTCGCGCAACTCGGCCGAGGGGCGGCGGTGCGCACCAACCCCGCTGCTCTGCCGCGGGCCGCGCCCCGGCGCCCCTAGCCCGCCCGCTGTCACCCGCAGGGGCGCTGGTGGCGCTTGCAGCAGAGGAACAGGGCGAGCTCCCCAGTGGGTCCGGAGCCACGGAGTTGGGCGGGGGCGGGAGGGTGGCAGCGAGAAGAGTAACTAGAGAAACTCGGCTTCTCTAATAAGCTTGCCCCCAGAGAGACCAGGTTGGCCCCCGCCGCCTCACTTTCTTTTGCCTTGGGTGGGGGAGGAGAAGCCGCTCTGGGGCGGTAGACCTTCGCGGGGCCAAAGCCGGGGGCCGCCAGAGTGCAGGCGCCGTCGGGCCGCGGTGGCGGGGGCCGCGCGGAGGGCGTGGGGGCCAGGACTGCGGGCGCCCCTGCAGTTGCCGATCGTCGCCAACAGGTTGCACCGTTCCCCGCGGCCGCCGCGCGGCCCCTCGGGCGGGGAGCGGCCGGGGGTGGAGTGGGAGCGCGTGTGTGTGCGAGTGTGTGCGCGCTGTGGCGCCGCCTCCGCCCGCCCCCCGCTCGGTCCCGCTCGCTTGCAGCGGCCGGGCGCCCTTTCGCGTGTCCGCGCTCCCTCCCTCTCCTCCATTTTGCGAGCTTTGAATCTGTGACTGGAGCCCGAGTCACCGCCCGCCCGTCGGGGACGCATTCTAGTGGGTGGAAGGAGACTCCGCAGCTGGAGCGACGGGGTGCCGGAGAGAGGACGCGCGCGCCAGAGCCGGGAGCGAGCTGGGGGCAGGCTTGTCAGCCGGGAAATGGGAGACTTTCTGAAATAGGGGCTCTCCCCTCCCCCTATGGAGAAGGGGGCGGCTGTTTACTTCCTTTTTTAAGAAAAAAAATTCCCTTCTGCTCCTCCCGCTTTCACACGCTAAGTTGTTTATCTCGGCTGCGGTGGGAGCCGAGGACAGTGGCGGGGGGGGGGGGCCCCCCCCCCGGGGGAGGGGGGGGCGGGGTGGGGGCTGGGGCGGGTGCGGGCGCTTGCTCCCCCGAGGTGTCGCCCAGGGCCGGAGGCCGACCCGAGGGCCGCCGGGGCAGCCTGCAAACTTTTATTAGCCTCGGGGAGTGGGGGTGGGGGCTGGCGAGGCCCGGTGTCGGTGACGAAAGGGCACCGCGCGGGTGACAGCGCTGGCCTCTTCCTCTCCCTCCACCGCCAGTCCCTGGCCCGGCCGAGAGGGAAGAACCTGAGCTCTGACTGCGAGCGGAACCTTGTCCAGCAGCCCGGGTTTTAAATCCTATCCTCCCACGCGGGTCCCCCTTTCTTTTCCCTCCAAGGGGTCCGCCCGGAGTCCCATTTCCACTGGGAAGCCGCGTCTGGATTGTACTAGTCCAAATATTTCCTCTCCACCCTGGTGCTCCCGAGCACGTCCCAGGTATCTGTCGAGGCTCCAGCGCGCCTCGTTTCTGGCGGGCTTGCGGGTGTGTGAGAGTGTACACACAGGGGGCTGACATCCTGCAACTTGGAGACTTCGGCCAGGGCCGGCGTTATCTGGCAGAAGTGGGCGTGTCGGAGAGGGAACTCAACAGGTCTGGACACACGTCTCTTAACCTCGCACCACCCCATCCCCCAAAGAACTTGTTTTTTTAGCTTTTGGCATCATTTTCGAGCCCACTTTTCCAGGTGGCCCCTAACTGTAAGCGTTTTCGTGGAGATTTCTGACAAGTGCTAGTTTGACGTTTAGGGTTGAGGACTGGAAAACTGTATCCCTGTAAGAACACTTAAGACCCCTTGGTATATGGTTCATTAGGGACGATTAATGTGACAGGGTCATTTGCAGTTTAAACTGGGGGGTAATGTCGCTTGAGGGAAGCATTTCGTTTTATGAAGTATTGTTATGGTTTTGGGTTTGAAGGCAGCTGTCAAAAAAAGCAGCATGGAAATTCATTAGGCTCCATTTGATACCTTGTGTTTAATGATCATTATCAGATAAAACAGCGAAGGGGAGGCAAACTACGCAATTTACCTTGAAGATTTTTGTGATGGCAGGTCCCCACCCCTCTCTTCGTCAGGCTCCAGTTTTCAGTGCGGGCCAGTGACGTTTAGGCTTCTTAGCGCCTTCGTAAAGGAAAAGTTTCCTTTGATTGGACAGGATTTTACAATAATGCCCAAAATGTGCTTATCAAAGTCTTTGCTCCCTTTTAGAATATTTGAATTATATTTACTTGTAATAACAATCTAACCCGTGGAGAATAAGCTCAGACTTGGAATAGGTGAAAGTTTAGAATGCAGAGAAAATTATTCTGAGCATTTTATTGAATGCTATTTTACTTGGATTTATGTGAATGTAATTTTAGTTATGGGTTTTTCTGTTTTTCAGTACTTTGATAATTGGAAAGGAAAAATCTTAAAGATATAATAATATTTCATACTGAGGGTTTTAAGCAGTTTTTAAAAACATACCTTAACTATTAGTCTAAATTAATGTAGATATTACTAGGAAGTATGATAAGGGTCAGACAGCTCTATTTGTCACATTTAAATAAGATAAAATTGTAGTGAGAAGCTGAAATGTAAATTTTAGTTGACCATATACATTTAAGTCATACATCTAAAATCTGGAAAAACTAAAATATAATTTGGAGATACGAAATATTAGACCAGGCACATCTGGTCAGAAATTTGGGTTAAAAATAGGAGCCTTTTCCCAATCTGTTAGAAGAGAGCAATTCAGTCTTGTTTATTTCTCAAATAAAACATGATGAACCAGTAGGTTATAATAAAAGTTTTGGATGTGTGAGTAGTTGGTAGGAGATGAACTTGGGAATAATATAGGAATAGAGAATTCTAGTGTAGTATTTATCGGATGTTATATATATTGACTCTCAGAAAAGCAAACAGCCTTGATTGAAAAGAGGTAGGAATTTTAATGATCATACTTTTTTTAAAAAATTAAATACTTTGACATCAACTTAAACCTTTAGAATAATCAGATGTAATGAATTATAATATCTGTGATTAACAAAGCTACACGTTCTTCAGTGAGTGATAGGATGAATAGCCAAGCTTAATTTGATATAATTTTGTCCTCAGCTGTGCAAATGAATGGCATTGTACTTTAAAATGTGGCACACTGAATGGGAGCAGGGGATATGGTTTTTTATTCTGAAACACATGAAACTACTCTGATAACAAAGAATTTGATCAGTTAACTAAAAGCTTCATTTATCAGGCCGTCTCTTACTAATCGAATCACAGAAAGAATGTAACTTTACAGCTTGTTATGTTTTCCTTTTTTTTTTTTTTTTTGTAGCTGATATTCGCCGATGGACTCCAAAGAATCATTAACATCCCCTAACAGAGAAGAAGTCCCCAGCAGTGTACTTGGTTCAGAGAGGGGAAATGTGATGGACTTCTATAAAACGCTAAGGGGAGGAGCTACTGTGAAGGTTTCTGCATCTTTAACTTCACTGGCTGCAGCTTCTCAGTCAGACTCCAAGCAGCAAAGACTTTTGGTTGATTTTTCAAAAGGCTCTGTAAGCCATGCCCAACAGCCAGATCTGTCCAAAGCAGTTTCACTCTCAATGGGACTGTACATGGGAGAGACAGAAACAAAAATGATGGGAAATGACCTGGGATTCCCACAGCAGGGCCAAATCAGCCTTTCCTCTGGGGAAACAGACTTTCGACTTCTGGAAGAAAGTATTGCAAACCTCAATAGGTCCACTAGTGTTCCAGAGAACACTAAGAGTTCAGCATCTGCTGCTGTGTCTGCTGCCCCCATGGAGAAGGAGTTTCCTAAAACTCACTCTGATGTGTCTTCAGAACAGCAAAATCTAAAGGGCCAGACTGGTACCAACGGAGGCAATGTGAAGCTGTATACCACAGACCAAAGCACTTTTGACATTTTACAGGATTTGGAGTTTTCTTCTGGGTCCCCAAGTAAAGAGATGAATGAGAGTCCTTGGAGATCAGACCTGTTGATAGATGAAAATTGTTTGCTTTCTCCTTTGGCAGAAGAGGATGATCCATTCCCTTTAGAAGGAAACTCAAATGAAGACTGCAAGCCTCTCATTTTACCGGACACTAAACCTAAAATTAAGGATAATGGAGATCTGATCTTATCAGGCCCCAACAGTGCACCACTGCCCCAAGTGAAAACAGAAAAAGAAGATTTCATTGAACTCTGTACCCCTGGGGTAATTAAGCAAGAGAAACTGGGCCCAGTTTACTGTCAGGCAAGCTTTTCTGGGGCAAATATAATTGGTAATAAAATGTCTGCCATTTCTGTTCATGGTGTGAGTACCTCTGGAGGACAGATGTACCACTATGACATGAATACAGCATCCCTTTCTCAACAACAGGATCAGAAGCCTATTTTTAATGTCATTCCATCAATTCCTGTTGGTTCAGAAAATTGGAATAGATGCCAAGGATCTGGAGATGATAACCTGACTTCCTTGGGGACTATGAACTTCCCTAGTCGTTCAGTTTTTTCTAATGGATATTCAAGGTAAGATTACTGTTTTGCTGGGGTTTTTTGTTTGTGTGTTTTGTTTTTCTTGTTTTGTTTTACTGGATTTTTGTGGGGATTGAACTCAGCGCCTTTGCATGCTGGGCAAGTGCTCTATCACTGAGCTACATTCCCAGCCAGATTAACACTTTTCTATTTTCTAAGAATGGTATGTTTAAGAGAAGTTGGTAGATTTAAAAAAATCACTTGTTGGTTATATGTTCTCCAGAAATTCATGTTTTTGCCTATGAATAAGTGATCTTTTGAAAATAGGCATGGTATACAGCCTAAGTAATTCAGACATAAACATTTTAGGTTTTTTATTAAATAGTGATACTCAGTGTCACATGGGCCAGTATTGAAAATTTTAAAATAATATTGCTCAGTAACAAGTATCTTCAGTAAAAACTCAAGGGGGTGTGACGTCTGGTAATATAATTATTGTGCATGTTGATTCAGCTGTTTTAGAGTATGCTCTTAAAATACCGTTAATACTTACATAATCAAAAGTTGTGCTGCTATATTTGTACTTTTGTGAAGTATTTTAAGATTAAAGGGTTAAAATTAGTACTAAAAATGAGTCTTGTTCTTCAAACTGAACCTTTCTGTTGAAGAATGAGAATTTGAAATTGTTAAAGCAATGTATTTATACAATGTGCCAGACCATAGTATTTTTTAGATATGGGTCTTTTTCATAGGGTTCCTGACCTAAAGTAGACAAGTTGTTTCTGCTGATAAATTTAAGAAAGGAATTGGTTGCAGCATGCAAAACAAATTTTTATTTTTAAATGTCCCTTCAATTTCTCAAGCAGATAACTGATAGCTAGGAACTGAAACTTAACAATTTTGGCTATCATTTGATTTCTCTTTTTTTCTTAGTCACTTTTAAGTAATTTACCTTAAAAAGGTCCATCAAAATGGAATTACTGAAAAAAGTTCTAAATTTAAATATACGTGTAGGTAAAGTTCTCTATTCTGTACCCCATCCTCAAGTCACATAAATACTAGATTGTATTTCCATTCTAGGTGTGAAGGAAAATGTAGATTGTAGTGACAAGATTGATCAGTTTTTTTTTTAAGACAGTAGACTTTAAAAATTTATACATAATCATTTCAAGTTTTTTCTTAAATGTGATGTTTATTGTTCTGATTAACTAATCATTGAGGATTTTAAAAGTCTTAAAAATTCTTTTGCTGAGAAAGTTATCCTTGCATTGATAAACAAAGAGTATCTCTTTTTCTCTTTATGTAGGAAGCTTTTCTTATTAGGGGAAAAATTTAGATTTCAGCTGTTCTATTTTCCTTAAAGGCTTAGGAGTTTCTTTCTTTCTTCTTTTGAATCAAGAGGAGAAAAACCACTTTGCTTCTGTATCTTAACTCAAACTACTACCTAGTAATCCATTATTCAATAGTTATCTTTTGTTAAGATGAACACTACTTCACCTTTTTAATTGTTGTCTTTATGACTTGAAAGTTTTCAATGTTTCCAGTAAGATTTGATTCTTGCATATACTTTTGCTTCAAATATTAAGACGTGCTGTTTAAAACTTCAATCTTAAATTTTTGAAAGTGAATTTTATGTGCCTGATTTTCTTAGAAGAGTAAGCACAGCTAATTTGACTAAGCTATCTGTAGGAAGCTATTAAATAGATTTATAAAACATGTAATTATACAAAGAAAAATAATACATTTAGGAAATTCTTTGTCCTGATAATCATCATAGAATTGTTTTCATTTTCTTCCTATAAGGGCGGGGGGAACCACATGGAACAAAACTTAAATTTCCATTCACTGAAATTTCATTATGCCTTATACAATCTGGGATATGCAGAATAATTGTTAGCTGAACATAGGTTACCCTTAAATCATTAAAAATAATTTTGATACTTTAACGTTTATAGTACTTAATGACATATAAAGTGTCTCCACATTTTTTTAATTTGAGCCTCAATAATAACTCTAGAGAGGTAGGCAGGGCTATGACGATGTGGCAGTTTATAAGTTCTTTAATACGTGGTGAAATTATCATTTTTATGCTGATGTGTTATTTGGAATTATAATCACTAGTCTATGTCCTAACAAAAAGACAAAAACCTTTAATACAGGATTAACTGGTAATGTTAGAAAATTTATACTTTATAATATTAATTTAGCACTGGGAATTTAGGATTACTCAGAACAAAGCTTCACCCAAGCAAATTGAAACAGTGTTTCTTTTTCTACCCATCATTGAATTAGTCTATTGTTTCTGAACAACAGCCATGATATAACTCAAATTGCCTGTCTTCTCTATATATTACATGTCTCTAGCCAAACATTAGTTATGACCAGTAACCCTGAGTGGTCAGCAACTAAATCAACATGTTGAAGCCACAATTTGATGGAATACTGACATTCTGACTTTAGATATAATAATATTAAATACTGTTGATAATTTCACTTGCATTCTTTCTAGTTTTAAAAAAAGAAAACATTATAATTTAACTTCTTTAACTGCTACCTAAATTGCTTTTCTTCAGAATGTTAACAAACGCCTTACATTCTGTTTGGGGGAGAAGGCAAATCCTTCAGGTATGTCAGTGCATGGTAACATGTAGTTAGCATATTAAATAAAATTACAAATATCGTGATTGAGCATGGAAAAACATTTTCTTTTTAAGGTTAAGATTCATTGATAATAACATTAGAGAAATGTTAACTGATGATTAGATTCATTCTTAAGTAAAAGGAGTTAGCCCTTCTAATGTGAACATAACAGTGATGAAGGCACATTTCTGCATAGTATTTTTTTCAACATTTTTTTTTTTACCTCAGCATTAATGGTGAAATTGCTGGAATAAAAGCAGAGAAATTAGTTGCTTTAGGAATGATAGCTTTTATATTGGGGTGATGTTGAAATTTTAGACCATTTCTTGAAGAGTGGGATTTTTAGAGAGAGAGAGTGATGCATGATGAACTTGTAGATTCAGTTTTAGTCTAGGGCTCTGAAGATTGGCACTTAATGAAGCTACTAAAATTTATATAAATTGGAATGTCTCTCGTTAATCATATCAGTCTAATTTTATAAAAGTAATTAAATTGAAGACCTGTACAAACACAGGATGAGTGAGGCAAATCCTGTCCCATTCTCATTTTTCTTATTAACGTCAATCAAAGGTTTTATGAAAAAGGGAGGACTATAATTCAACTTTCCAAAGGTTGTGAAAAATGGATGTTTCAATGTCTTTTATTTGCTTAGTGTTTTTGATATTCATTCATATAAAGTACTTTCTAAAAGTAATCTGGTTTAGGGTGCTTACTTATTTTTATTGTTAGCTTTATGGTAGCTTTTTTTTCTTTGTAAAAAATCTATACCTTGTCATGGCTGTACAATTGATTTTAAAACACATTATGTATTCAGGTATGTCAGTTAATAGTGGAATGGCCAATACAGAAACATGTAATGAGCAATTATTTAGATTTTATTGAAATTACTTCTTGTGATGTTTCTCTGGTTATTCTCTGTATATTTTTATAAGAACATTAATTTGTATTTCTAATGCTCTCTTGTTACAGATATTTTAGTTTGGTTACTTTCAGTATATTATTAAATGTTTATAAGTTTTGTGATATTTTGACATACACCTTGCATAAATGTAGAGTAAATGCAAATTGTATTAAAGTAAAATTTACATGTGATTAAAGATCACTTTATGGGCTTTTGATATTTTAGTGAAGGACAGAAGGACAAAAATAGAGAAAATAGAGAAAAATGGTTTATTTTAGCATGAGTGCCTAATATATGAAAGAATATCTGCATTAATTTGTTATATATGTCTTAGTCCACTCTGATCTGGAGGTGATTGAAATATCCTGGGTGTGTTATGAAATCTTAATTTTTATTACATTTAGAATAGGTCTGGGTCATGGTTTTTAAAAACTTATTTTCTTCAGTGATTACACCTAGTTTTAATTAGTAGTGAGTTCTTGTGTTGTACTGTGAGTGATTTAAGTAGACAAAATAGGCTTTTATTGAATAGTATTACTTCTGAAGCTATCTTGGTAATATTTTCATCAAAAATAATTGTGTAATGCAGTACTATTTACCAAATTAATGGGCACTTGGTTCCATAATTCTGTGTCATGCAAAATATATATTGGTGAATCCTGGTGCACAAAGAGTTTTCAAGAAATATCTTGTTGCATTAAGCTAAAACTGAAAATCAACTATTTATTGACCTCTACAAAAGGGTTTTAAAACCCATATGTTATTTCTTCAGCTTCAGAAAACCAACTGAGGAGAATTTTGATATTTTTAAAAGGATTAATTGTGTTCCCTTCCCTTTGAATGGTGTGTTATCACCTGTGCCTAACTAAATTAGGATGTAACTTGTAATGTTGATAGTTTTTTCATTTTACATATTTTAATTGATAACATCTCAAAATTAGTTGTAGACAGGTAGTTTCAACCTTTCCACCCACCCCCAGTAGGGAAGGGGCAAAGGAGGAGAAGCAACAGAGGCATGGAATAGTGGAGATAAGTTAAGAAATTAAAAAAACAGTTCTAAAAACCACCAATTTGGATATACTGTTATGAATTTAGAGGTTTAAGAACAGTGATTTGGGGCAGGTGCAGTGGCGCATGCCTGTAATCCTAGTGGCTTGGGAAGCTGAGGCACAGGATCACAAGATCAAAGCCAGCCTCAGCAATTTAGCAAGACCCTATCTCAAAATAAAAATATAAAAGGCTGGGGATGTGGCTCAGAGGTTGAGAGCCCCTGGGTTCAATCTCTGGTTATCTCCTCTATCCCCCTGCCTGCAAAAAAAAAAAAAAAAAAGAGAGAGTAATAAGAGTAATTTAGGGCTGTGCTTATAACGGGAATGTAACAACTAGAATTACAATTATTTCTTTTATAAAGTGGAAATGTAAAGCTAATTGTGGCAATATAGCCCTTGTTGTTTATGAAGTTATTTTGTTCTTCTTCCTATGTTTTAGTACCAAAATAAGGACAGAATAAATA